ATCTAGATGGGACGATGTTGTCGAAAGGGCTCTCCACATTAGTGGCCCGAGGTCTGACTCCAAGGTGATTGTACTGATGATTGTTGTTGAAATATATATGTTGCCTATCCTCGTATATAATCATCAACTTAAATCGCCTTAGTCAATAACGGAATTAAATAAGTCGAATAACGAGAATGGACTTGTGAATACATATATTTTGTATATAAAGCGAATGGAAAGAGAGAAGCGAAACAACGAGCAGTGGAGATGGCGGGTAAGCCAACTCCCTTTAGTCAAGCGTTAATCAATATTTATAGTTACACAAAAGCAAGTTACAGACATGTAATGAATAATGGGATAAGAAATGTACACACACCTACGCGCTCATATAAAAAAGTCAAGATTGATAAGCGAATAAATAACAAAGTCAGAATGTGACTCAAGTAGAATGAATAGAATGGGCTGTCTGAATGCTAGAATAAGGTATATAGGCTTAACATAATAACCGACACTACAGATTAATCCTATGGAGGATATTCGTGAATTTGTTTTTATTTTATACAAATACTAACTATACTACTATAAGTATTGATTATTTTTAACTTAGTAAATCAGTGATGATATATACATCAAAGAAACCCGTCCTATTTTTTAGTAATATGGATGAAACTGCCCAACTTGTGATTTAAACTTCATTTTGATCATAGTCAATAAAAGAACCAAATTTTGTAAATAAACGATTAAAAGTAATAGAATACACTATGTTCAAAAGAAACCCTCCCCCCGAATTGTTCACATTTTAAAGAGTAAAATTGGAACTTTTTAAAGTAATGGGTACGTTAACTGATGGTTAATTAATTACACTACTTGTTTTGACATTTAATTAAACTGGGTGGTACCAAAAATAAATATGAATATGTATATCATTTATAGCTTCCTGTGTGTATTGAATATAAATACTTTAAGTGAATTACCATAATCAATCCAAATCAAAAATAAAATCATAGAAAATTACTGATTTATGAAGTTACATCTAATTTTGGCGAGCTGAAAACCTTTATACAACTATTCGTCCAAATTAGAACGAGTAATTTGACAGAAATCGGGCTCCGAGTATAGAGGAGCCATTCTGTGTGACATATATAAATAATCTCAGCAATTGAAATTAAAATAATTTCTACGTTTCGTCCAACAAACTTGTCTGAACTTCTTCAGAGTAATAATCAAAATCATCAAAGAAATATATAGTATTGTAACAATCAAATCAGATCTTTACTGTTCTAATCTAATTATATTTGTATGTTGACTTTAGTAATTAGGATAACATGCATCAATGATACGTGAATTATGTGAAAATTTTGAAATTAATAAATGAGTGAAGTGTGTGTGCATGGGTGAGATTGACTTATTAATAGCCCCCAAATGCCTTGGTATGGCCGAGAGTGGGGTGGGCCCGCCCCCCTCTCGAAATGCTCTCACACGGCCACGCGTATATAGCCTCTGCCAGGGAGGTCCTACTCACTGCCTTCTCTCACCAGGGGTGTTGTTTACGAAATTGAGAGGACGAAAAGCAAAAGGCCGGCGCTTTAACCGGATTCCAAACCAATGGCGCACATGGGCTTCATTATCTTGTGGGAACAAATGGCGTATGAATCAATCGTTGGTCACTGGCTACCATGGGACTGTATCTCCTCACGATGCTCCATTGCCTTGTAGGTCAGACCTTTGGGTTAAAGGCTCGGGGTGTGGCCCCGTAAGAGAACCACCTGCTTCAGTTTGGGCACACGGTGAGTATCCCAGCCTTCACACAAATCGAATAATTTATGTGGCGCATGTCTATTTGGTGCCTCTTTGTACCAATGTTTGTGTTTTTGATATTCGGTGTTAAATTTGTTTTTATATAAAACTCTGTCATAGTAATAAGCGATGAAATTAGCAAATATGGATGGTGGCTAGTATTGGAATTCAAGTCGCGCGTTTCGTCCTATTTGGGACTCGTCAGCTGCATCTCAGAGTCAACAGTCAAAGTTAATAAATGAATAATTAACAACGTCAAAACGTGGCCTGTCCAGAAGCTAGAATAAGTTATATGGCTTAACATAGTAACCGACACCACACTGTGAGAATAATGAGTTTAGTCTAGAAAAAAGTCAAATGAAACTAAGTGATTCAAAGATAGTTATAAAACGAAACCACCCAAACCAGCTTACTGACTTGACTAAATCTTAATCAGTTAAACTCGATTTACCATAAATGGTTAAAGGTATATACAAATCCAATGAATCGTTGCATCAGATTTACATGGTGAAATATGAATAAATAATTTAGGTTTCGTTATCTGAAATTCAATTTATATTGGTCGAAGAGTTGTTAAATGAAAGCGATTAACTAACAAACGATGATAGATTATGACGATCTAATTCACACTTTCAGTCTTAAAGAAAGTATATATTATCATGTGGCATTGTCTGGATTTGCTGCTATTATTGCTAGAGTTGAGGCAGAACTGATTGATTGGTTCCCGATTAATAGTCAGTTATGTGCTGTTAGATTGGAAAGTTCCATCAAAGCGTGGAGAAATCGGTGTGAGAAACGATGTCTGGCGTCCTTCCTCCGCATCTCAAGCATGGACTCATATCGATCACATCGCGATCAGCTACCGCTGGCATGATTGTGTACAAAACTGCCACTCCTTTTGGAGTACCTATCTGGACTCTCATCACGCCCTTGTTTGTGCTGAATTCACCGTACGTTCCAAAAGCCAGCAAATTAATTGTCCTAAACGGGTCGATGTCAGTAAATTGGTTGCAGTTTCTGTTGTAACTAACTGTCAAACCGAGCTAGGTCCAAGTTAGCTAACATACCACCGGAAAGTATAGATGAAGATTGGTTGCAATTGCATGACGCCATGAGAATAGCGAGTAAAGTCGCTTGCGGTTTTGTGGAACGTCCCACTTATAAGCACTGGGTTTCTACAGGCTCTTTACAACTTATTGAAGCCCGTCGGTTTACTCCTGGTGACCGCGATTTTGACCACAAACGACGACTGTAACGTAATGGAACTGGGCAAAGCTTGCGTAAGGACAGAGAAAGGGTGTGGAAAAAAGCGATACAGGACTGACTCCTGTCGCTCTTTCACGACCCCCTGGTTGGGGTCCGAGTGGTGGTGCAACACAGTGGCTAGAACGTCATCAAATATGGCTCAGAATAGAAGCCAGTGGCGATGCTGATGTAACTTTTTTAACTGAAAGAATTCTTTCTAGTTGTACCTTTGTTAGCTGAACTGCCTCTTCCATTATTATTATTTCACTTCCATACACTAATTTCTGTTCTTTATTGTTCTCTTTCTTCTTATACTCACTTTTCATTCTCTATCTCTTAGCATTCTCATTGCTATTGTGTGGCGCATATGTATCTGATGCCCCTTTGTACAATTTTATGTGTTCAAAAAAATTAAAAAAGGTTAAAAGAGGTTTATAACTTGCTAATAAGGAATTAGGATTAGTATTAACAGTTCGAAGTTAGGTTAAGAATCCAAGTTAGGTTTTTCATCATGATGCATTAGCTTAAATGTTATATTACTATTTGATCATATGAATGAATGAATTCACGTTCCAAAATCCTAAATCTGCTATTGTAGTGAACTAGAACACAGTGGAGACAACCGTATGTATTTTAATAAAAATTAAAATCTCTTAGCAGAATCTA